TGACATTTATATTTCTTCGTGGAAAAAAAAAATATTGTTTTTAAGACGCCAATCGTTTTGACATTAATACACATATTCTCATCATCTGTACGTGATTTAATTGTGAACTTTATTATGACATGTTGGATATTAAATCTCTCAAAGCCGACCGAAAGTTTGTTTAATGAATTTTTATTGCAATATTAATAATGTCAATGTGACAACTTCCGAAATATTTATTAATTTGTGAATATACACAGAGATTCTCGGGATATTTATGAATTTGGAACTGTGTTGGAGATAATTAATGAGTGAATTGGGAATTGAGGGAAGTCAAGAATGAAATTAATTTTTGTTGTGCTGAGTTGTGTGAAATTTGATTTTAAGATCAATTACATTAAGCTGAAATGTTTTGAAGATGGAAAGGTTATTTTGAGCTATTGGGGATCGTGCTTACATGCTTGAATGCCTGTATATTTTGTGTCTTGTAAGTTTCGTTTTTTTTTGGTTCAGATGACATGAATAATCATTAGGAAAGTGGAAAATGTCTTATGAAAGCTGCTTATGAAGTTGTCCTATGCATAATACCATAAAATACCAGCTATTTTGCTTGAGACAATTCTAAATTAAGAGATAATTCTCTTGCAGAATGATTAAAAAGAGATCAACTTCTTAAACTTAAAAAATTAGCCTAAGGAATTCTAAAGAACCAACAAGAAGATTTTAGAATCATTAAAAAAGACATAATCTGCAACAAAATCTATATTTTCAGGTTTTTACTAATTTAAAATTGGCTAAAACAACATCAAACTTGTATTTCAAAACAGAACTCAATGAAAACTTCCTCAGGCAATATTAAAGAACGATTCAATTTGTTTTTCTATCCAATTCGAAGCACTAATAAATGTTCTAGGTAATGTATTGTTTTGTTTTTTTTTTAACAATTGATTTACGGAAGTTTATTGATCTTATAAACAATAAGAACCAAGGAAAAGGGTGTGCAACTATTAATTATTGAAAAAAAAACAGAAACTTTCAAGTCAAAAATCCAAAAACAATTGAAATTTTATGACAAGGGCAATTTTCCAGGTAAGTTTTTCAAAAAATCATCCGGAGAATCAAATTTACTCGAAAATTTTCCATTACCAAGCATAACTTTTACATTTAAATCGATGTAAAATGGCAAAAACTATTATATTTTATCTATTTAAGTCTTTGAAAGTAGCCAATAATTAAGTTTTTTCAATTTTTTTTGCAAATTACTGTCAGCAGAAAATGGAATAATCATAAGGAGAATCGAAAATTGAAGGAAAGTAAACACTCATTTTTTATTATGATTATGCAGCAATGTAGTTTTTGAGCTAATCTATCTAACCATAATCATATCACACTCCAATAATTACAATTTAAAGAGAATTTTTGAATTTTATGTGGATTTTTTTTGCTGACAGTAAAAAAATTAAGCTTTTATTTTGCAAATCCATGAAAAAAATGCAAAGCAAATATTTCATAAAAATTAAATTTTAGTCTTAATTTAACACTTCGTGGTTGAATTATTGTTGATTCAGTAAGAATCAATCGTAATAAACAGTTTAAAGTTGCTTTAAGCAATCAAAACAAAGAAATTGACAAGATATTTACAAAAAAAAAATTGAAAGTAAACAGTAAATGACTTTGGATTATAAAAGCTCTTTTTTCAAAAACTCAACTCATCTGGAGAATTGCCCACAAATCAAAAGCTAGAAGCTCAAATCTATGTAGATTTGAATTGAAGTCATTGATAAATCTCCAGTGGCAATCAATTATTAAAATCCTCCACAAACCTACTTAATATTCCATCTGTATTTCATTCTATCATGCAGACAAAATGACTAACGCAAAACAATTGTTTACCGATGATAAAAATCGCTACTAGCAGGAAAAGAGAGTGCAATTCAACAAAGCTAGGAATGTGTTTTCTATCTCTCCCACTATTGAAAGACGAGATATTTGTTAAACGTCAACTTCTTTGTTTGGGGACTGTATATGAAACATGATAAAAATATTTAAACAGTAAAGCTTCATGTATCGAGTATGTGTATCTGCAACAAGTGTGTATTGGTGTCTCACATTTTGCATATACGTTGCTGATGACGATGATGATAATGTTATATCGCACATTTCATATTAACAACAACAAAAATAACACATAAAAGCTGTACAAATGTATGTCACAGTCAATGATATATCATACATTGGATGTTCATTTCATTTCATGAGCCCGCAAACATTTTATCACAACTATATTTCTCTCTCTATTTCTTTTATTTTTCACAATTCTTGTTTTGCGTCTATAATGTGGGCAGAATCGAATGTCAAGAAAAATTAAAGTTTCAATGATTTTTTTTTCTCGTTATGAAAAGAATGCCGTCTCGAAAATTGAATAAAAATGTTCGGGAAAAATATAAACAAAAATGAGTACGTGAATAATTTAACGTTTTCAGATTTTTTTTTTTCGGTTGAGGAAAACTGTTTGAATCAAAGTGATTTATCAAAATGTTAAGAGTCATGATGCGTTTGACGTAATGTGAAATATTGGATGGAGTTAATGAAATCAGGAATTTTTCGAATATAACCTCAAATATGTTAATACAGTTAACTTGAAACGCAGATTTTATTGAGTTTTCAGTTTTAATGACAACAAACCAAATGTATCCAAATTTGAAACATATCTAAACTATCATGTTAGCAGATCATGGCTAATTGAGTATTCCTCGTTTGGAAACTTTGTCAATATTATTCTGGATAGTTCTTCCTTTAATAATTATGATTTTCTATTTATTTAAGCAACTTAATCTCGAGGCATTATTAAATAACGTGCCAAAATACAGCTATCATCAAGTACAATTTGTTATGAGGTTTAATAAATTGCCCAATGCAAATAGCAATTTCCAGAAGCAAAACATATATAGGCGGACCTAGCATCAATAATATCATTCTTGTTTTCAATATATTTCAATAAAATACAAAATCTTTGAAGGAACTTGATAAATTTCATGAATCTGACATAAATGTTTATTCAAGATATTAAAGAAGTCAAAAGGTATTTATTTACGCAACAAAGCTTTAAATTTATGTTCGTTAATGTATTCTATTGTATCATTAAAAGGCACTTTAATGGCTATAATAAAACAATTTCCCAAAATCCATTTTGTTCCACCTCAATTTCTGTGAAAATTTTAAGTAGCTTTAAAATTTCAATTTGCTTTTAATTTAAATGTGTATGTGAAGCTAAAGGAAGTAGCTTTCGATATTGAATGACAAAGATGAAGTGCAGCATACGATTGGAACGGTAATAAGCTTCAAAAGCTCATTTCTTGCTTCATCTAGATTTTCTTTTCATTCATTTAATTGACTTTTATTGAGGCACACGATATCACTTTTGCAATATGTAAAATGTCGATATATTTTTATTTTATTACGTTTTTAATAATACTTCAAACGTAAGTATATATCCTTACTCACTACATAGCATCACAAGTAAGCATTCATGCCATTATAGCTCATCTAATAAAAGCGATTGAGTTATGGTATGGGGAAGTGAAATGTAGAGGTGAATGTGAAAAACCCTTTTTATTATTGATATTATGTTTTTTGTTGCTATTCAAGCGCACACATATAGACTCGGTGCAGTGAATTATGAAGGCTCCTTGTAGGGGAGTTTATTGATAAAATGAGGGATAAAATTTTTTGTGTGTGGAAAACTCAAATTTCTTTTATTATATTTTTGGGAAATCCACAAATTATTATTTTGTAGAAAAGTCGGACGTAAGCATTTTCAGACATCAATAAAATGTATCTTTATGACATAACCAATATTATTCTATAAAACTACTTTGTGCAAATAAAAATAAACAAATTGGAAATGCTTAATGAATTTCTTTTGTTTATTTCTCTTTTGATAATTTTCAATAATTTCTCAGTAAATAGGTTTATGTCCAATTATTTTATCATGAAATATTCAAGCACGCACTTTTCTATGTAACTGATCTTAATTGAGTAAATTATTGAATCGATTTTAATGTTTTTAATTGAATTCTGATAAAATTTACCTCGACTGATAGAATATTGAATTGAAGCTATTTGCAGAATGTTTGCGATATTTAGCAAACACATCAAAGTTCAGCAAATAAAACTGAATAAAGTAAGATCAGCCTTATTCAGCAAGTTTACTAATATTCATCTCATTGAGCTGAATTTAGCAAATTTTGAAAAATTCAGAAAATTAAACTGAATAAAGAATTTTCAAGTAAGTTCAGAACTTTTCATCAAACTAAGCTGAATTCAGCCAGTTTAACACTTTTCAGTAAGTTCAGCACTATTCATTAAATTATGTGAATTTAGCAAGTTTAGCACTTTTCAGCAAGTTTAGCATTTTTCAGTAAGTTCAGCACTATTAATCGAATTATGCTGAATTCAGCAAGTTCAGTCCTTTTCAGTAAGTTCAGCACCATTCATCAAATTAATCTGAATTCAGCAAGTTTACCACTATTCATAAAGTTAAGCTGAATTCAGCGAGTTTAGCACAGTGAGTAAGTTCAGCACTATTCATCAAATTAAGCTTAATTCAACAAGTTAAGCACTTTTCAGTAAGTTCAGCACTTTTCATCAAACTAAGCTGAACTCAACAAGTTCAGCAATATTCACTTTTTTAAATATGTAAATTTACTTGAGTTTTAAAAGTTTTTATTCAGCTTGTGAGCTTCACAAGAACTAAATTTAAACATTTAAAGGTCTGTGTCATCTTTTGTAGGTTCATTCTTATGGTATCTCGTACGAATAAAAACATCATAACTTCCAATGATGTGATAATGTTTCCAAATAAAAGTTCAATGAAGAAAAAGGCTCTACAAGACTTGCCCATAAATCTTGCCTTTCAAATCTTTTTTATATGCTTTTCTAAAAGCCTCTTTGAAAAGGCTTTTATAGAAGAAAAGCAAGAAATACGAGAAAAAAATATAAATAAAATTTATTTTACTTACTTCCAATCGTAGCACGTCTGATGGATGATGGTATGATTGTAAAGTTATGAGTGATATGGCCAAATCCACTGACTGATACAATGGAATCCTTTTTCACGCAATCCTTCTTCACATCGGATGTATTCCATATAAATAAAAGTTGTATTTTGGTAAAGGCACACACAGCATGTTGTAATGAATGGATGTAAAAAAAGCATAAAAGTAAAATCGGATTTAATTAAAATGTGGAAAGAGAAATAAAATCATCAAGATATTTTATAATGGAAAATGTAAAGACCACATAAAAGAATCTCCATCATTATAGGTTTTCAAACCGACTTTGGTGAAAAATTAATTAGTGCATATTACATTTCACATTGAAAATCGTCTAGGTCGAATGAAAAATTTATTTTTAGACAAAAAAAATGTTTATGCATATCTGTTCATATATGAATTCCATTATTCTAGGTAAAAAATTTTTCAACGAAATATTTATGACAATATTTATTTTCATTCGGAGAGATTTTTTTTTCCTCTCAAACAATGAAATAAGAGTGAGTTACAGCTTTAGAATAAACAAATAAATTAAAAACAGCTGTTTTGAGATTCATAGACAATTTTTGTTTACAATTCTTAATTTTTAAAGAGAATCGACGAGAAAATAGAATTATGCTGTTTTGAGGCATAGAAAATCGAGCCTAGCTAAGCTTGACCACAATAATAAAATTGTCTACAGTTTCTGGTCATGGATGGTCTTTTAGAACATTTCTGGTGCACCATAGACACTGTTGATTTGAGCTTTATTCTACTGCTAGTAGAATGAAAATTCCTCTTCCCAAGCTGAATTAACCCAAATTTCGATTAAAGATAGTTTTCTCGTAGCCACTTTTGTAATTTTATACCAAACGGTTTTATTGTAATAAAACGATGTTTGTTGTTCGATGTTCGTGAACAAATTGAATATTTGTTTGAAAAGGGGCAAACAACTATGATACAATCAATATTATTTAAATCTCAAATGAACGTTATGAAAAGTCTGTCTACAGACTAGAAGCTCTTGAATAGATAAAAAAATTCTTTCATAAGCATAAAATTAAATTGAGCACAAAACCAATGCAATTTTTAAAAGAAAAAAAATCTGTGGTAGGCAAACGGATCTTATTTTTAGAACAATTAGATTTAGTACTTTTTTAATTGTCCTTATTTTTAGAACTTAATCCGTTATGAATTTTAGCCAATCAGAAAATTTTGTAAATTTTCAGCCAAAATCCTTGTGTTTTCTTACAGACTACTATTTTAGACATAAAATAGATACACATTCTTTGTTTTAAACTATTTATGGATTTAATATTTCATCTGGTTTTGATAAAATTTCGCGTTTTCTTTTTCAAATATTTTTCGTCAAAATGTAAACAAACATGACGAAGGAAAAAATTATTTGAGAAATCTCAAAGTCTTGTGAATTAAGCTTCTTAATGCTAATTTTTTGAATATCAAAATGTTTACTGACCCAAAAAGGCTATGAAATAAACTAAGTTCTATATTATTTAATAGCAAAATGACTTAAAAACAACAAAACAAATTATGATGAAATAACGTTTTTCCTGAATTTAAATTTTACTGCCCGAAATGTTAAAAAATTCAAATTCAAATCTTTAAAGTTTCAACTGATTTTATAAGCTCTTTGCCGACCACAGAAAAAAATATAAAAATATTCTACATGCGTCACTCTGATAAATATTTTTCTCTTTTTTTCATGGACCTGAATAAAAAAAGGAATTCATATAAAAAAATATTTGAAAACTCCATCAAGATTGGACATTCATATGAACAAATATGCATACCGCAAAACATACAAAGCAACAAAAAAATTTTCATTAACATACCTTTTCCAAAACATCCTTATTTGATGACTGTACTAAAATTTGGTTTGCAAGTGCTGTATTTGTCTCGTTATGAGCATCGATTTTATTACTATTTGTATCACTGTTGTTACTACAATATAAGCCACTATCTTTTCGATTATTGTGGTTATTCGACAATGATGATAGTATCGATGGTGAACAGCCCATTACGATGTCACCATTAATCCTACTTGTATTTGCCTGTCTTGTTATTATGATTTGACTTGAGCACGACTAGTCAGTGATATAGTCTGATGAAAATTTCAACAACTTCCAGCTGCCATCATGTGATTATTATTAAATTTTGTCGTTTTCATCGCACTTAATGCGAATTGAGCTTAAAAAATTTTTCTCATATTTTTCCTCACTCGAACAAGCTTATAAACTTAAATTATTATATTTTTTTATGTTTCACAGAATAAATTACAAATAAATGTGTTAAGCCTGTCATTAAGCCTCTTTTTTGCGTTCTATTCTCGACGGACGTTGAGAAAATATTTTACAAAATACAGTATGTTGATGTTGGAGATGGATATCCTATATAAGATAGAAAGTATTTTTTAATTAAATTTATATTATCACTCTAATTGTAGTCTATAGAAGCATGAATTTAAAGTACGAAAAATATTTTTTATATTAAATAAATACAGAGGGGAGGAACATGGAGCCTCAAAAAGTATTTTTATATTTGAGGCTGTTCACTTATTACGTAACGCAAAAAATGACTTTTTAGACCCCCCCCCCCCCCCTCGTAACAAAATTTGTATGAAAAAAAATTTCCTTGTTTGAACCGTAACAAAATCTTAGACCCCCCTCCCCCCCTAAAAGCGTTACGTAATAAGTGAATGGCCCCTCTACAGTCAGGAGAAACACAAGAAAAATGTTTGCTTTTGTTTTCATCAATTAAAATTCCATTGGATAAATATAGAAATGTAATTTTCTTGGAGTGTGAACTACGAATGCCATCCATCAACATTTCGGGTTGGTTTCTTGGACTACCAGGAGAATCACTAGGATAAAGTTAAAGACTAAGACAACTTGTGTACCCCTTAAAACATGACGCATATATTTACAGACCTAATGCCCTTTTTGTCACATAATAGTCTTTGTATGAAGGCGTAGTACATTGTCAGACCCCTTCTTCCTACTAAAACTGTGACAGAATTTATGAACGATCCCAAAACCAAACTACCAAAAAATAATCAAGCATAATTGATAATCAATGGAACCACAAGCATAATTTGATTTCTAAGTTTATAACTAGAATTGTTGCTTTACCTAAATTGTTTAAAGCCAATCAGCTGCTATTACATTAAAGTTTGTTGCTTATGGCAATAAATTGGTTTGAATTTCGTTGATAATATTTTTGATATTAATCAATTTATTGTTTTCATTTAGCAATTAAAGTATCGAGTTTCAAAATATCGATCAACAAAATTTGGAGATGATTTACATAATCTCTGAGTAGAAAGGATTTATTATCTTGTTTGATGGAAAACTTCATGTACTTATCATCCTGTTTATGCCATTGTTTTGAAAGACAAAGCTAAATGCTTAAAAAAGGTGATTCAATTTTTTTAAAATTCAGTTCTTCAATTTATAATCAAAAGAGCTTTAGCTGTAAACCAAAGCAAGAATAGAGGTGAGATTAAGGTGGTATTCCTAGAAAATATATTGGATAGTTCTAAAATACTTGACCGGATAAATTGCAAAAATTAAAATGAAAACCATTTAAATATTACGATTAAAACTTGATTTTTTTAATATTAATGAAGTGGTTGGAATTGAACCCTAGTAAGCACTACTTTTAAGATCTGGATAACGACATACTTTTTAGCTATTTCCATTATTATTTCAAACTTTGCAGAACGTTCTTATACTTTTAGAAGTTTAATTGAAATGAAAAAATTGTTGAAGTCACTTGTTGAAAAATGTTTACTGTGATGAAATTTCCAAGTACTCCACTTTGTATTGAAAAAAAAAACTGTCGAAAAATGATTTTTTTTGCAATATTTCCTTCCGATGCAATTTATGACCGAAATTTTTACTTGGATGCTTCAGTTTCTTTTCAATGTCGTTTGTAGAGTACTTGGAAATTTCATCACAGTAAACATTTTGGGTTTATTTTCTTCGCAAATTTTGCTATGTACCCCCCCCCCCCCCTTTAAAAACCAAATAAAAGTTCAAAATACAATATACAATAGCAAATCCTTAAAAGAAAGTGAATCCCTAATGCGATATAAAGCCTTCCAAACTTCATCTCTTGATGCCATTTATCAGAAAGCATCCACTCTTTTTCAAATTGAATGTGCATATTCATAGTCTATTGGAAGCTAAACATCGACAAAATCCCATGTACCAATTTTTCAACTCGTTTCCATATCACATGTTCATATTCATGACAGGCGCATTGAAATCAAACGATTAATTTTATTTTTTATATAAATTCGTTGATTACTTTGTCCGAATATTTTATGTGCATATAGAAGTACTTAATGTTAGATGAGAGCGAAATGAAAGCAATTAAAAGATTTAATACTACAAAGTATTAATGCGAGACTCGACTGCTATATATGCATGGCTATATCATTCACATCATTACCATCATTACTACGATGTGGTTTAGACAGAATTTTCCATGGGGAATTATTATTATTATTTCATATAAGAGCTTTATGACGTCTACAACCAAATACAGGGGTGTAGTCGACACTCTTATGAACTTCTTCAATTTGCTAGACTTTTTGATCAATTTTTTTTTCTTCAAAACACTAGCAAAATGAAGAAATTTTCCAAAAAAGCTAAGAGTTTTGATCTCAATAAATTTATCCTTAATACGCTTCTCATAAAATATGTTGTTAAAGTCAGCTTTTGGTTTTTGATGATTTTTCAGCTGGCTGAGAGAAAAAAGAATAATTTTTATACCGCACAACGTGTATATTTTTTGAGGTTTGATGGTGAGAAAGGTAAGGAACTTTTTCATACATTTTTTAACGACGGTCAGGGTACGGAGAATTGGAATAAAGGAAATGTTTGTAAAAAAAATTAGCAAAAGTTTAAAATTCATGTACTTTGTTAAATTTCAGCACTTCTTTTGTATCGAGCTGTTACCCTTTTATTCTCAAAGGCAAACTTTTTACTTTGTTTAAATAATCAGAAAGTTATACTTTGAATCCAATGAATGTTCAAACAGCAATAGTTTAATGTTTAAAGTAGTAAACTCTTGAAACTATTTCTTTTGTTCTTTTTTAAGGTTTTCCAGACTTTTGACACCACAAGTACGATAAATTTTTGTTATGATCCTTCTTCTTTGCTTACAAATTGATTGAATTGTTTACACGAGTTGCAAAGTACAACTTTTTGATCATAAATGTTTGAATTAACAGCTTTTAACCTTTTCGTAAATATTTTCGCAAATTTTGTTTGCTTACAGGAAATATTTTTGGATTAAAGTAAAAATTAATCAATAATTTACGCTAGCGTTAATCGGAATTATTGTGCAATGGTAAATATTAGGATTAAGCCAACAATGTTGTATTACTAATAAGGATAATTAAAACTCCTTCCTTACTATAAATTAATCAATAAAATAGTGTATCGGGTAGAAACCCAATGCGGATTGTATTCACACCGTACCATCAAAAGTCTTATGGATAGACCAAGATTTGCCCAGCATAAGTTTGAAGGCATAAAGCTTGACGGGTCAGCTAAGCTTCGCTCAGCATAAGTTTGAAGGGTTAAAGCTTAACGAAAATTCTTTAAAAGCTTTTTAAAAAAATTTTTCATCCAAAGTTTAATTTTATAAAAATCACAGTGAACTTTTGTTTAAAAAAAATTCGTAAGAAAGGAAAGTTTTTTGCTTTTTCTGAAGCAACGGCTGCTCCTTCCTTGTCTAAAAACAATACAGCTCTTCTATAGAGCAGCACGGATCAAATGTAAAATACTTTATAAAAAAAACTTTTTAAAAAAACTACGTTTTTCGCGTAGACTAAAAAGTAGAAAATAACTTTTATTCTTGGTTGTAAAGAATTTGGTTTTAAATTTTCAGATTATATTTAATAAATTTTTATATCTTAGTCAATATTGTTCACAAAGTTTCGAATAAGTGCACTTTGATCTTATCGTATAACTCAACAACTTAAAAACGTGGGCGCATTAATTTAAGTTTATCATAAAGTATTGATTTCACATAAACTTATTTCTTCTCTTATAATGCGCCCACGTTTTTAAGTTGTTGAGTTATACGATAAGATCAAAGTGCACTTATTCGAAACTTTGTGAACAATATTGACTAAGATATAAAAATTTATTAAATATAATCTGAAAATTTAAAACCAAATTCTTTACAACCAAGAATAAAAGTTATTTTCTACTTTTTAGTCTACGCGAAAAACGTAGTTTTTTTAAAAAGTTTTTTTTATAAAGTATTTTATTTTCTACTTTTTAGTCTTATTCTAATGAAATAGAGAAATAAAGATTATAGGGGGTTTATAGGTTACAGGTGTGTTGAACTTCACTTCGTTACGTTCAACTGTTTATAGATTACAGTAGGTTTATAGGTTACAGGTGTGTTGAACTTCACTTCGTTGCACTTCGTTACGTTCAACTGTTTATAGATTACAGTAGGTTTATAGGTTACAGGTGTGTTGAACTCCACTTCGTTGCACTTCGTTACGTTCAACTGTTTATAGATTACAGTAGGTTTATAGGTTACAGGTGTGTTGAACTTCACTTCGTTGCACTTCGTTACGTTCAACTGTTTATAGATTACAGTGGGTTTATAGGTTACAGGTGTGTTGAACTTCACTTCGTTGCACTTCGTTACGTTCAACTGTTTAAAGATTACAGTGGGTTTATAGGTTACAGGTGTGTTGAACTCCACTTCGTTGCACTTCGTTACGTTCAACTGTTTATAGATTACAGTAGGTTCATAGGTTACAGGTGTGTTGAACTTCACTTCGTTGCACTTCGTTACGTTCAACTGTTTATAGATTACAGTAGGTTTATAGGTTACAGGTGTGTTGAACTTCACTTCGTTGCACTTCGTTACGTTCAACTGTTTATAGATTACAGTAGGTTCATAGGTTACAGGTGTGTTGAACTTCACTTCGTTGCACTTCGTTACGTTCAACTGTTTATAGATTACAGTAGGTTTATAGGTTACAGGTGTGTTGAACTTCACTTCGTTGCACTTCGTTACGTTCAACTGTTTATAGATTACAGTAGGTTCATAGGTTACTGGTGTGTTGAACTCCACTTCGTTGCACTTCGTTACGTT